TTTTCCACTGTTAACCTAATTATAATTTTCACTTAGTTATTTTTAACATAGTATGTACAATAAATTCAAAATCATTTTAGTATCTGAGCAATGAGTTAAATGTTCAAGTTTTCCAAAATAGCTCCCCTCAGCTTGATTTAAAAAACAAAAGAAAAGCTGAATAATAAGCAGTTGAAGTTTGTGTTCTTTACTGAATATTTAAGTTAAAATTAGAAAAACAAATTGCAACAGTAGCCATAATAACTCAATACCCTATCCTTTCACTTCCTCTGGTGTCATCATTCTTTGAGTCACTATTAAAATACTCTTCATTCCTTCCCAATATAATCCTCCATCCATTTACTTCATCTACCACAAAACCCCTAAATCCAAGAGGGCTACAGAAAACAGACAGTGTGTGAAGCCTAGTGGTCTTATCCTACCTACATTAGGAAGTCTGCCGTTTCCAGTGGCTTCCATGGAACCATCCTTTTCTAACTGGCTCCAGAGCTTAAACTCACTGTTTATCTTAATTAGATTATTTTATTTGTATACATATATAAATATATCTTACATATATTTATCCAATTATTAAATTTGTCTGAAATTTTTGGTAGCTCTAATTGAATTTAATATCACATCTGTATCACTCATCTGTACATTTAGACTCTGGGCAAATATTGGGTTTTGTGGTTGAATGAACCACAGATACAGAATAGGATATAAATATAGCCATGTCTCAGGTCTTCTAAGTGGAGAATTTTTTTGCATAGGCATTTAAATATTTTTGGTCTATTTTATAAGTAAATGGTTTACCTATTAATAATCAGTATTATGATACCTTATGTCATAGGAGTTGAATCAAATGCTCTCAGAAACACCACCAGTTTGGAAAGGATCATCAAAGCTATTTCGAAACCTTAAAGAAAGAGGTAAGTTAACTTTAGTATTTATGCATTTTAATATTGACGCTATATTATTTATACTACTTATACATACATATTTTCCTCATACTTAAATATTTTTATAATTACATATGTGTGTGTATGCATAGAGAAGAAAAACACCAAAATATTAATAGTGGTTGTTTCTCAGTAGTGGGATTAAGAGTCGTTTTTAGTTTTACTTTTTATATATATTGTACATATCTTCCAAAATTTTTTACAAAAATCCTCTTTTTTAACCATATTGAGAAGCATAGGTTATATTTACCCACAGGGAGCATTTTTCAAAATACTGATCTCCAAATGTCTGTTTTTCTTCTTCCCATTTACTTCCAGGGAATCAGATTTTCTAAATTTAATCAATATGAAAAACTTCCTGGATATATCTTTTGTCTGCCCAGTTTGAACATGTTTCTTTTAAAAACACTGCAAAATCCACCTGTTTCAACTTAGTGTATTGTCCACATCTATATATCTTAAGTTAACTTGTTAACTCATACATGTCCTTGCCATCAACTTAGCTTTTATTGCAATTTTCTTTTACAGTGCCCTTTGTGTACTAATTAATAAAATCTCTTTAATCTTAAAAAGGAATGTTTCTTAGAAATAGATTTTTATATTAAAGTAAAAGAATATACAAAATAAAAATATAAAGCAATTATATAAACTTACCTTTCTCTTTTTCATCAATTTTAACTGATATTGGTTTGAAAATAATATATTTACCCTAACATGAAAATAAGTACTTTAAAGGAGTAGTTATAATTTGTATATTTTTATCCAAGTAGAATTAGAAATTCAAATTGCTTCCACCTGGTTATCATGAACTCTGAAAGGTGGAGGCATCTTTAATTGTAGGCTTTTCATAACTAGTGTTGTTAAATATTTACGAAATCTGGGCCATGGTATCTTTAGAGCTCTTAGAGATTTTTTTTTCTGGAAATTATCTTAAAGATTGCCATTCAAATCTTAGGCTGCAGTGATAGGATCAGGAAAATTCAAAGCTCAGAAGGATTAGGTAAATTGGTGAGCTTAAAAAATATTTCCTTAATACCTCTCATGAGAAGATACAAATTGGATTGAGTATAATCTAAAAAAAGTAAGTGTATAGAAGAAGAAAATTCTTTTTAGTTAGGGGAAGGTTAAATCTAGAAGCCATGGATTTAGGCAGTCCTAATCCTACTTAAATTATATGCATATTTGCATTTTTTTTCAGGGATTGTGGTCTATTCCAAGCTATCCAAAAGAACTATCTGCAATGATGGAAATATTCATATGGTAGCCACTAGCCAAATGTGGCTGTTAAGCACCTGAGATGGGGCTACTGTATCTGAGGAACTAAACTTTTAATTTTATTTACCTTTAATTATTTTAAATTTCAATAGCCACATGTGGCCAATGGCTACCCTGTAGAACAGTGCAGATCTATGTCATAGTGATGAGATTTTCAAGGTAATCCATGTACCCAAGAAGTTTTAGAACCATTAGTTTAGGTGAAATAGAGAGTCACAGAGAGCCTTGCTTTTTTTATAAAGAGATTTGATGAAAGAGGAATTTTAAAGCTAAGTTTTTAGAGCTATTGAAGATTAATTTACAGATGAATTTTATCTGCTTAAAATATAACCCAGCAAGAAAATGTTATGCAGTTTTACAAAAATTTAATTGGTTTGCAGCATTTATAAGAACGTGTATTACATAGACTTAGTTACAACAGTCAACTGTAATGCATCATGATATAGGAACTATATAGTGTAATGCTTCCAAGGAACTTCCCTTAGAAATTTTTAAAATTGAATTTTCAAATAAACCTTTTCCTTCCTAGTTGGCATCTTTCTTATTCTCTTTTTCTGAAGATCACAGCATTCCTATAGGCCTAGCATTTAATATTATTTTATTTTTTGACCCTGAGTGGCCTTAAATCAAATTGAAAGGTTAGTCTAATATTTTTCCATTTTTGTAATTAAAAGCATTAGGAATCTACAGTTCATGTTCAGTAATATTTTCTCTTCTCCTTGACCATCTTTATTAAATTATACCATGAGTTTTTCACTTTGTTTTTCTTCCCTGTGGATTACACCACCTCAAAAACCATTTAACGCTTCAGACAAGTGCCTACCATGATAATCATGATCAGAACTCTCACTGTTAAAGTAATCCTTTTCTGAGGGGAATCTTGATTATCCAGTAAAAGATGTACAGCAGTTAATAAGCTTCTTTATACTAACCAGCATCTCTGTGTACCATCAAGTCAGTTAGAACAACAGTAAGTGAGATGGGATTGTGGAGAGAGCCCATTTCCAGATTTTTTTTTTTGAGGTATCCCTATGGAATCTAGGTATTGTATATTTATATGCATTGACCATTCCAGAATCTTTCTCCCATAACATTCATGGCAGCCAACCAGAACTATGTCTACAGGTCACAATGTTCTAGTATAAACAAAGGAAGGGAATGCTTTCAGGGCCTCCTGGCTCAGTCCCTTCATGTCTTCTGACAAACTGCCTGACAGTGGCTCTTCTTCTCTTTGTTTTGTAACAAAGAGGGTAGCCTCAAAGGACATCAGGTGAAATGGAGTTTTAAACTACACAATCTGATTATTTAAGCATTTTTTATACCCTTTTAGAAACATAAGGACAGTCTGGTATCTGGATTAGTGTTATTGGCTTATACCTGATTTTAATTTTCTCAGGATCCACTTGGAAAGTCAGTTAAGCCACTAATTCTAGTTTGAGTGTTAACAGTCCAAAAGCAAAAATTTGAGTAACAGAATGTGTATTTTTACCTACTCCGAACAAACTCCTTTTAAAGTTTGTAATTATGAGATTACAAAGAACTCAGGATGCAATATATATAAAGTATAAGCTACTTAATTAAAATGAAACTTTTGAGATTACATTTAATAGAAGCATTAAGCTAATCAAGAATAATAAAAAGTCATAACTTGAGAGCAGAAAAATGGTAGCTATAGAGTTGTGTTTTTTAAATGCAATACAAAGTCAAATTTCTAAGCAAGAATATCTAAATGTTTTATTCATTACTGAGAAGTAATTAAGCATTTTACAGTGTTAACCATTTCCAATCTTTTTATTTTATGTTAGAGTCATACATTGAATACTAGCAACAAGTTTAGGAGTTATAGCTGTATCTAAACATTATTAATAATTTTGGTTTTTTGCCAGCATATCTGGAAGCATTAATGCAAATTTTGTATGCACAGAGGCATGTGAAACAAAGTAAAATTAATTTGTTGCGTATTTTGCTATGATTTGCTAGTAACAGCTTAGTCTCATGTAAAACAATATTTAGCATCTTTAAAACTGTAGGTTCTTTATTAATATTACTTCCTGCTGTTACAAGAATATTTTACTTGATAAATATGAAGAGAAAGTAATATTTTATATATAGCATAACTAATACTATTTTTCTTCTAGGTGTGATTTCTTACACAGAATATCTTTTTCTTTTATGTATTTTAACAAGTAAGTGTACTTATTATACTAGTCTATTTCTGGATGCAGTTTTCTTTTTCAAGCCTAATCTTGGAAAATAAATCTTTCTTAGATTCTCTTACTGTTGAAAATCAGTTTAGGTCTATCCATACTTTTTTGCAAAATTCATGTCTAAATGCCAGCAGAAAATGTGAAGCATTCCACTGTCAAGTGTCAAAACCATAAATATTACTGTGGCTTATGGCGTAGCAATAAAATGCTCATAAACTGTGACTTTAATATCATGTATCAGTCCTTGTGGTTTAGTCCACATGGGAGCCTAAAGTTCAGAACGTTGTAATGATTTGTAAATTTCCTGCTACACTCATTTAAAATCCCATTTTCCTCAAGACTAGGGTGAAAGCATGAGTCTTTTAACTTGTGAGTCTATCAGAAGCCCCATCATATATCCTGAAACAGCTTTATTATTCTCTTCCTCTCATACACAGCAGTTCTCATGAAATATATGAAGGGTTTACTAAGGTGTTCAGTTAAACTTCCTTGCATTTAATGGAGGAACTTATGTGCTGTAGTTCACCATACTTCAGCCACCTCACATTTCTATTCCTTGAATTCTCACCTCAGGAATTTGTACTTTCTGCTCCCTCTACCATCAGTGCTTTTCCTCAAGATGCTTATGATATTAAAAATCATCCAGGTTTCCATTGAAACGTGAGGGCTTAGAGAAGCCTTACTTGACCATCCTCCCTAAAATAGCTCCCTCTTCCATCTCTCCCTTTTTATCCCTTTACAGTGTTTTATTTAATTTGAGGGGGAGGCAATTAGACTTATTTTATTTATTTACTTATTTAACAGAGGTACTGGGAATCAAACCCAGGACCTGGTGCATGCTAAGCACACACTCTACCACTGAGCTATACCCTCCCCGCAACAGTGTTTTATTTTCTTCATAGTAGTTAAACTATTTGAAAGTATTAGGTTATTGGTTAACATGTTTTTGTCTGTCTCCCCACACTTAAATGCAAGGTCCACGATGGTGAAGATCTTATCTTTTTTGTTTACTTCTGTAACAAGAAGAGTGTCTGGCATGTGGTAGCCTCTCATAAAACAACTGGCTGATCAATGAAGAAAGGAATAAATAAAGGAATATGATTAGTGAAATTTCCAACTGTGGGGATTTATGGAGATGCGTGGAAACAGGAACATCAATAAAACTATGTGATTAGAAGCCAGTCTTAAAATTCCAATACTTCTATGATTACAATATTCACAGCCACTGTGTTAGTCTGAATTTAGTTACGAATGATACTATGTTGGAATTCTGGTGCAGGAAGTTTGGGCAATGTGCATGTGCATTTCAAAAAGTACTGTCTATTTTTCCCTTGTTTTTTTTTTTTTTCCTCCTGGACCCAAAATGATTTAAAGTGTTGCTACTGAAGGAAAGCAAGTATTGTGCAGTTAGTAATAGGGCTACCTGAGGTTGCCCCAGACTGGGAAGTCACTATGATGATTTGGGCCCAGTCAGTGATGAATGCTGCCATGGAAATTAGAGGAGTGGGTGCCAAGGAGTGTCTCAGAGACCTGTTAAAAAGTTATCTTGTTAGCTAGAACAAGTTTAGATGCAAAGTTAGAAGTTATAGGTACCTAAACCAGCAGAGTGATAGGTACGAATAGAACAAAACTGATTAGGAAAGCCACTTGTTGAGCTGGAGCAGGGTTGGTTTAAGGGTAGTGGAAAAAACACATATGGTGGGTTTTGCTTCCTACAGATGGCTTAGGCTTTTTGGATGATGTGAATCTTCATTTGGAGTTCAGGACCCATCTTAGAAACTTCTAGGAGTTTGAACTGAAAACTTACGGGTGTTGTTTAGATTAGAACCAAGAAAAAAGTGAAAAGAGGGCTAGCATGAAGTGGGCTAGATAATCCATGCTATCTGACTATACTTTTCTCCTCTTTACTTTTTATTAGTTTAACTTGATTCTCCCTTCCCAACAGTGCTTGGAAGGACTTCTTTTTATGTGTATTTTCAAGATCTTTATAAAGCTTAAAACTTGGTTATCAGAGATGGTATAACTTTTTATTTCTTTCTCAAGTGAATGATTATGGATGTCTAGATTCCTAAAATACATGCAAAAAAATGAACTTGCATTAAAGGCTGGCTTTTGTTTCTATTATTTTCAGAGACAGCTTTTACCAGTTACGATAGTAGTAGGGCTGTGTGTTTTGCTTTTGCTGGGTTCAAGATTTCACAACAGGTAGTGGCAGGTGTATCTGTGGGAGGTCCCTTTTTAAACTTTTTGCCAGTCATCTCAAAAGAGAAGGTCAAATGTTTTGAAAAAGGCATGTACACTGAGCTCCTTTTTGAAGGGCACGTTCAAGTTTTGTTCTGTCCACGTTTTCTTCTTTATGCTTTAGAAGTGAAAAGAGAACAGGGATTGAACCTCAGAAGGTTCGTAAAGGTAAAGCAGTTCATAGTGTGTGAAAGTCTATCTTTCTCAGAAAGCCATTGCTGCTCCTCTTTGGGGAGAACTGGGAATTAATTATTTAAGCCCTCTTTATTTTATAGCTCTGTGTTTGAAGCCCCTAGAAGTTTAAGCCCAAATATGCAGTTGCTCATGCTTGATATTTTTTTCCCTTAGGTCATTTCTGTTACAGTTTTCCCAAGATTTTGGACTAGTCCATTGTGTCATATTTTTATTTTTTCTTCTGCTCTAAGTAGCTAACATATTGAAAATGTTCCAGATGTAATGAGGTGATGTTTTCATTTTAAACAAACTGACAGACCTTGGATAAGAAAGAAATACTTAATTTTGGAAGGAAGGTAGTCAAATTTTACTGTCAGTGCTGCGCAGCAGGTATCAAAGTAGATTTAAAGTGTATTAGTAATGCTGTTACTAAGAGTACTAATATATGAAGCAGAAATATATATACTATTATGTAGCTTTTATTATATTTAACTAATGAGAACATATTGCTTTTAATTGCTTGGTTAAAATATTTCTGTACAGAATATGAATAATTGTTTACAACTAATATAGATTTTGTACTTTAAAAACATTTTTCCATTTCACAAATACTTTTCCTGATTTTTCCGGCAGAACCACATGCAGGTTTTAGAATAGCTTTCAACATGTTTGACACTGACGGCAATGAGATGGTGGATAAAAAGGAGTTTTTGGTGGTATGTATGTTATAGGCTGCATTTTTTAATAATTAAATGTTGCTTAGTTTTAAAGATGAATAATACCATGTATTATAATAGCTAACATTTATTGAGAAGGTACTATGTGACAGGCAATGTGCTGAGTAATTACTTGTAATATTTACTCTGCAAAACATTCTTCTTAAAAGACCTATTGATTATACCTTAATAGAACTGGAGAAGAAAATAATGCTATGAGGTAAGCGATTATCTTCAAGTTCCTAATATGGAAAACAAAGCTTAAGTAATTAGAGAAACTTGCTCAAGGGGTTATACATGCAGAGTCCATGTTTCTACCATAATGCTCAGTTACCGGAAAGAGACCTTAGAGGTCATCTGGTCCATCTTCATTTCATCTGTGAGCAAATTCGTGCCTAGTGAGGGTTGGGTGACCCGTCCACCAACATAAAATTAGTGTCTGACAGAAGATGCGCTCAGACCCAGAGCCCCTAACTTCTGGTCCCATGTTCTTTATACCACAGGACGCTTCATCTCTTTTTACGTGTGTGCCACAGGCTCCACGTCTTTGTGTCTTAGAGATCAAGTAAAACTATAATTTTGTATGTTTAACGTTAACTATGGGTTGCCAGTCCCAACGGATGCATTTTCTTTTCCTCAGGGAAAAAAAATTGGTGTCAGAAAATATATTTATAATAGTTTTAATGTTCTTGGTGGATGAAGCTAACTATTTTCTTTGTTTTTAGATTATACCTAGTATGGGTGTTAGGTAGGTACTCAGGAACTCTTGTTGGATATTTGACCTTTGATTGGTTTTCTTTTCAGCTTCAGGAGATATTCAGGAAAAAAAATGAAAAGAGAGAAACTAAGGGAGATGAAGAAAAGCGTGCAATGCTGGTAAGAATAATTTATAGTAGTTTCAGGTGGGTTTTCTAGGTAAGAAGTATTTTATTCATGCCAAGAAACAGTAATTAAAGTCTGTAACTTTGGAGCTATCTCTTTCTTGAAAACTTTCTAGATTTCTTATGCAGAAAAATTGCTTCAGTATTTATATGCTTTGATATCAATATTTATATCAAGTATTGATATGAAATATCTGTATCCATAATCATATTCATTAAATCATTTTCATCCATGTTGTTGTTATCCATGAGATTTGAAGGGTATATCACATAAGAGATTAATACAGATCATTATGCATGTGAAAATTTAAAGGTGAATTGCAAAGATTTAATTATACATGTTAGTAAATTTAGTGGTACTATAACAATATGAACGCTGGCGCAAAAACAAGGAAATAACATGTTTTTTTGCATTCATAGAAATATGTATTATAGATTCTTCATCTGGGAAGAGTAATGTTTTCATCTTATTCTGAAGGTAGAGCAACATTTCCCTCCATTTTCCTATTAGTTTCCTTTTTGCTTGTCTCAAGTATTTCAGCCAGACAACATCTAGGTTCACATAATAAAAATAACAAACAGGTACTGAGACCTCACTGTTGGACACTATACTAGGTGCTTTGCATGCATTTTCTCATTTAATCTACCCAACAGTTCCCTTATTATCTGTAATTATAGATGAGAAAACTGATAGTTGGAAAGGTTAAGGACCTTGTCCAAAATTCCATAGCTATTAAATGGTGAAGTTAAGATTTGAACCCATGGCTGGCCAGCTCCCAAACCTGCATTTTTACCCACTATAGCATATTTCTTCCTCTAGAATTTAGATAGCAGAAACATGGTGAATTTTGTTGGCATGTGAATAACTGTTTCATTTGCAAATTAGTGGTGTGAAATAGCTTAATTGGTCTACCAGGAATTTAAATAATTAACTTCAAAGAGTTGCAACATTTTTTTATTATTCTCATTGTTATAAGACTATCTATTAGGTTTTCTTAAAACATGGGTTATCTGTAGCAGGGTGTCATATTTAGTCCCAGTAGATTTATGGAGTATGTATTTATATTTCTATTAATAAAAGCAGATTATCAGGATTATGAATACATATTACTTCTTAGGATATTTGACTATGATATATTTATCAGTATTTGTTGACCCACGCCCAATTGACTAATTATGGATGACTCTTAATAAAAGACAATCTCTGTAGATAATATACTGAAGGAGTAAACAATTATTTTAATTGTGATCAATTACCCATAATTGACTGGATAGACAAATTGTTAATAAAATATCATTTAGGAGGTTGGATTATCTTAAAGAATCTTTTGGTATACCTCACTGATAAAAGTAGACAGTATTTCAGTGGAAATAAATTTAACTGTTTGTTTATTTATACTGATTCCAGAAAGGATTTATGGGTCTTCCAGTACAAATACAATCCTATTCTAATCATTAACATTTACTAAAATACCGAAGTCGAGTAACAAAGCAAGAGAGGAGAGGGAATAATAATAGCAGACAACCCACATTGAGAAAAGCTGCAGTGTCAGCACAAAACCTGGCTCTGAGTTTCATTGCAGCCCAGGTAAAGTAAATTTAATACTGATGATTTAATGCAAATAAGTTCATAACAGTGATACAGTAATAAAACTTCATTAACCTGGATTACTCAGGGAAAGTCTGTCCAAACTATGAAATCTAAATTATATCAGCATACCCTGAATTGTATTATTTTATATGCATACATGTAAATCAGTGAAGCATTCTCTAGCAAATATCTGGGGAAGGAGACTTGTTTTAAAGAACAGATAAAAATAACTTATAAGAAGTATATAACTTATTTATATGTAAAGGAATGCTTACTAAATTCATTGATCTCCACAGGTACTTCAGACGTATTTATCTGACATGGTTTAATTAGTGCTGCTAACATCTCATTTATAGAATTTAACTACCATAACTATATTTTAAGACAATTCAGAAATAATCTTTAGTACAGCCTCTGAACTAAACAACACTCTAGGACAATACAGCGCTCTACAAATTATTGTTACTATGTTTAACAGTAATGCTAATTAGCGGTAACTTATTGTTAATAATTGTCATGTTTTAAACAATGCACGTGTGAACTGATGAGATTTTTGAGTTTTGAAGCAGTTAGAGTTTAGCTTATAGTGAAAATATATGGATTACATTAGAGAGACAGTGAAGCACAGGCTCAGGAATCAGATTTTCAGGGTTTGAACATTAGCTCTGCTGTCCATCACCTGGGTGACCTTGAGCAGGTTCCTTAAGTTCCTTTGTCCTCAGTTTCTTCATTTGTACCATAATAGGAGTAATGAGCACATGTGATTGTTTTGGGGGTTAAATGACCTAAAACATAGAGCCACTTAACAGTATATGAGCTATAATAAATACTCAAAAAGATTGGCAAGTTGTGAAACGTAAAATTCTCTTTTAATTAGTAGAAACACACAGCTACTTTCAACTGAATATTCACATACCCAAATCAAAATTAAATCAAGACTAAATTTAAAATCCTTACATACCAAAATTAAAGTAACTATGCTTCAGAAGGAAAGAGGGAAATGAGCATATTTCTCAGGACACTTACTATGTGCTAAGCTCTGTGCTGTATCCATCATAAGTAGTACTCTCACTTAGGCCTCGTTACAGTTCTCTCAGGTAAGTATCATGCCTTTGTATAGCAGAGAAAGCCATCTGAGAGAGAGAGGTTCATTCACTGCCTGAAGTCAGGGCACTCACCGGAGCAGGACAGGATTCCACCGTAGGTCTCATGCCATTTCCACTGCCATGCTGCTGCATCCAGACCTTCCCCTTGTCCCACATGCAGTTGCTGAAGCATGTCTAAGTAAAGCTGCATACTCTGGAGGAACATGTTTTACTCAAAGCAGTAGTTCTAACAAAATTACAATGAAGGTGGTTGAAATGAGCACAAGTTCATCTAATGTTTAATCATGTGAGATTTTAAAAACTTTGCTACTCATCTTTAACATTTATCCCCCTTGTACTGTGTGTGTGCTCTATATAGAATATAGCATAATGATTTGCCCTTCCTAATTGATTATTTTGTCGTCTTTTTCTTTTTTTCTTTTGCTATACTTGGGTTCATTCTGAAATGTGACACTTCATTTGGCCCTTTGTGCTCTATGTCAGCGTCTTCAACTTTATGGATACCATTCTCCTACTAATAGTGTATGTACAAGACTTTAAATGTTCTTTATGTAAATAGCCCTCACCTGTTATACTTGATAATGTTATTTATATAAAGCCATATCTGCTATTGAGAATGTTTAGGACTTTACTGAGTATAATAAAGTACAACCAAGCCAAAAATTTTTATTTCCTTCCTAGATTAATGAGAAGACTAAAACTGACAGAGCAATTGTCTATCTTTAGCTTTAGATTAAAGTAAGGGAAAGGTGAGTGAACAACAACCAAAAACTCTGGTAGAATAATTGAAATTTTATATTTTTCAGTGGTATTTGAAGAGTTAAATACAATTTATGGAGCAGATTCTCAGGCTATGCTCCTGCAGAACACAGGTATTTTAAGAACTAGATCTGTCCATCTGATATACAGTCTTTTCTTAATTCTAATAAGGAGGATATTAATGGATAGACTTTTCTAATTTTTCAGTATTTCTCCCAGGTGTTTTTAAAACCTTTGACGCCTGCCTACTGCCTATGGTCTGTACAAAAGTCTGGTATAAGATGACATTTGATATGTTTAATATATCACTGTATCGTGTTGTTTCTCAAAAAGGATTATAATCTTCAGACTCTTCTTTTCCTGAAAAAGTTGGGAGTTCTTGTAAATAATGTTCCAAATGTACTCTTCTTACACGCTACTGTCTCCTCTTTTCCTTTCCCCTGGAAGTCAGAGCTTGGTGGTTAGCCTAGCTACTAAACAACTATGGACAGGCCGTGGCCCCTTTTGAGTATAAACATGCCCAGTGCATTTAATTTCCCCAGGGATCCTTAAGCCACTTAGAAGGATCCCTCAAATTACACAAATGCTCCCCGAGAGAAGCTCTTGGATTCAGGGTGGCCGTCTCAGTACTGCCCTGCTGCGAGTGTTCCAGCTGTATGTAGTGTCCAACTCAGGGCCTGCTGCCACCTGAATACCGTATTTCATCAAAAGTCCGAACTATAAAAACTCATATGTTCTAGATTTAAACATATACTTAAAGCTGATTCAGCATAAAATAAACCTACAATATCTTGTCGAAGTCACAAGGAATGGTCCTAGGGTGGGTTGGAAAACAAGCCAAGTCCCATGGGAACCTTATGACTAATTGTTTTGATCCCTTACAAGATACTTTAAATTTTTCCTACAGAATTCATTACTGTTTTCTATGAAATAAACTCAACCATTTTCTTAAAAATTTTAAAAGATTTCTTCTATTAATTATTTCAAATGTATATAAGAATATGTAAGATGAAAATCCCACAGATTGTAAATACCATATGCCATGTGAAACTTAATAAATGTTAGTAATAATTATGAGTTTATTTTTCTAATTTGTCATTGCATGAGCCATTTTTCCAACTGTGGCAATTAATATTTTTCCTTCACACTCATCAATAATTTTCACATAGATGATTATATAGTCTTTTAAAAATGCACTTCAGAGTAATACTGTTCAAAGAAGATAGGTACTAATACAGCTCTAGTTTAAGTGACATACACAAATTGCAGTCACTCACACTGAGAATATTGAGAAGTGGATTCAAATTACATATTTCATTTATATTATGCTTACTTAATAGGAAAGTATTTACATTTTATTGTGGTAATGTATATGTTTATTTCACTGAAGGCATCTTTTTTCCATCTATGAATATAAAATACAGATTTTAAAGTAATGTAACTTGATGTCATTTTTGTCCATAGTCTTAAATGGATTACATGATTTTTCAACTCCCTTAGGAGTTTAGTTGGTTATATAAACTGACTTTTTTTCCTATAATAGGAAAATTTTTGGTCAGAAAGAAATGATTATTTTCAAAAACTTCAAAGCAAACAAGAAAAATGTATTTAAAATTAGAAGAAAATTCAGACAGCCTGAACATTTCCATGAAATATTGATGTATGTATTGTACAAATATATTAGTATAATGCTGTATTATACTAATGCACTTATCTGCTAGTGTCCAGAATTACAGATCAACTGGAGGGATGAAGTACCTAATCTGAGTATAGTGCATGGAGCTGAATATAACCTAAGATTCTACCTTTAGGAAGAAGTTCCTTCAGAAAAGGTGGGGCCTTCTGGATTTATCTGTAAAGAGAGGATCTGTGGCCTCTATAGTAACCTGTTACAAAATTTAATCCCTCCTATAGCAGCTTCTACCTGTGTTCTGTCAGCTTATTTCCTGCTGCAGTGTAAGGTTGAGCAGACTCCTTCGTATCCTTGAAGGTGGTTACCTTATAGCCTTTTCTATGCCAAACAACCCTGATTCTTTTCCTGTTTCTCATGTAGTCAACCCTTGATTATCTTACTACAGTAATAAAAAGAAGTATGAAATATTCAAAAGAATAAATAATGCAAAAGTGAAATATGTTTGACTTTGACATGCTTTATATTTTATAAGTTTTTTAAAGATTATCTTTATTATGCTAATTTCATTGTAGTCCAGAAACATACCAGTTTTCATGCATTTTTTGGACATGTGTAAACTTGTTTTAGGGACTAAAACAATGTCAGTATTCATAAATGATCTGTTTTTGAAAAGAATGTGTATTCTTCAGTTTGGGGTACAGGGTTATAATATATACATATGACCAAACACATTAATTATGTGTTTTAAATCTCTATCCTTACTAATGTTTTTCTCTGCTTGATCTGTCAAATAGTGTGTTGAATTACACATTACAATGATAGACTTATTACTTTCTACCTATGATTTTTATTTTTTATTTTATATATTTTGAAGCATTGTTATTACCTTTATAAGAATATCGATTACTTAAATCATCTTAATGAATTAAATCTTCAATTGTGTACTATTCTTAGATCTCTAGAAATGTTTTTGTGTTAAAATCTATTTTAGTTGTCAAAATAAATATACCACCTCTATTTTATTAATATTTTATATTATTGTCTATTTTAAGTTTTTTATTGTCTTTTTTTCTCTAGTGATGAAGAAACTTTCCCTGATTTTTAAATATGTATTTTAGTTCAGAAATTTACTACCAATAAAATTTAAATAGAAAATAAAATAAAAAACAATAAAAGTTTAACCACCAAATAGATAAGGAAATAAAACATTTCCTTTGCCATGCCCTAAGAAGCCCCTTCATGTCTCTGATCATAATCCCTCCTTTTCCTCCAAAAGATAACCATGATCATTACTTTTATGTCAAACACTTCTTTGCTTTGCTTTGTGGTTTTACCACCTACTTAATGTATCCTAAACAATATAGTTTTGCCTATTTTTGTACTTCATACAAATGGGATCATATTATATGAGTTTTTCTCCATCTCGCTTCTTTGACTTAACATAATGATGGCCAGCTTCACCTGCATTATTGTATCTGGCCCTAGTTCATTCACTTTTATTGCTATAAACAGTAGTTCTCAAATGTTTTCGTCTCAGGACCCCTTTACATTGTTGAAAATTATTGAGGATCCAAAAGAGCTTTTGTTTATGTGGGCAATGTCTGTCTATATTTACCATATTAGAAATTAAAACTAAGAAAATTTAAAATATTTATTAATCCATTTTAAAACAATAAAGAAAACTCACATTACCATAAACATGTTTTATGAAAAATAACTTCAAAAATGTAATGAGGAAAGTGGCATTTTATATTCTTTGCAAATCTCTTCAATGTCTGACAATAGAAGACAGCTGGTTTCTCATAGATGCTTCTGTTCTCAGCCTGTTGGCAGTATATTATTTTGGCAACAAATACTATCAGTTGTTTCCTTTGAAGTGACAGGCTCACTTGGTTCATTTTCCAAAAAAATGCCAAATACCAAGGGCCAGATCACCATAGTTTATCAATTGTTCTTTCAAGTAAAAATGATGTTTCAAAAATAAATTAATTAAAAAATAAAGTAAATAAATAAAAATGATGTTTCATGAAAAAAGTAGCTAAGTTACCTTGCAGCACAAACCATCACACAACTTTTTTTCTCAAGACAACACAGCATTTCATGAGGCAGAGCACTTAATGCCGCCTTCCCTTTACACCGAGTTTTAAAAAAATGTATGCTCAAAGATCTAGTGAACAAAAGTATAAGTTTTATTCTTCAGCAAGTACATTCTTAAGTGAAACTTTTTTTAAAATGTGAGTTTCTGGAACTGAAGGATGTAGCAGTTTCTGAGGAAGGTAATGACTTTGGTCTCTGGTGCTGCTGCTGTCACTGGACTTGTTTTGCTGTAATGTGCTGTTGTGTTACACGTACGACTAATGTACATGTATATTTTGTATGTTGTACAACTGCTCCAGCAATTTTATCCACCGTTGCTTTTGCACCAGTACATGTGTCAACATAGTACAAAAGGCAAATAATGTCTTTTAAGATGCTTTAAGAAATACCTAGTTTTTATTTTGGCCAGTTTTTTCAGTTATTCCTCCAAGAGAAGGCTGGCACTGTTTTCTAGCCTGTCTTTAATGAAAGCCTGGTGTTTCATTTTCGACCTCTCTCTTTCCTTATACTTTAGGTGTGTCTTTTTTAAAAGTATATTTTGTATATTTTATCAATTGCTTTTTAATTGGAAAAACTCAGTCAACTTACATTACTGTGATTACTAATTTTTTGGATTTATTTTAGCCATTTGATATACTGTTTTATTCCTCCTTTCTTACCTTCTTTTGCATCAACTGAAGTTTATTTTTCCTCTTGTTATTTTCCTCTGTATTAGTTTAGAAGACATATGCTACATTTCTATTCTTTGTGTAGTCATTCTTGAAATTTTAATAAGTATACTTAAAATAATAAAGTCTTAGATTAGGCCATATCTTTATTCTCTTTAAAATAAGGTTTTAAAGTGCTTTAATATCATTCATTCCCCTCCTGACATGGGTACTTGAAATTGCACAATTTTGCCCTTGTCTTTTGAATTCCACAAGTTAGACTTCTAAAATGTGTACCATCTGGGTTTGTTTGGAATTACTTACGTATTTGCTGTTCTTTACTCCTTAATTCCCTCTTCAATCTCACCCTTTCCTAAATCTCATAA